GAGCGCAGCCCCAGGCCGCAGCCAACGGGCGAAGGGCGCCGTGGCCTCTTTGGGAAGCGGAGCGCTTGGTGGGCGTTACCCCGACAGATGAGTGACAGGGCGGGGCTGCCCGTGGAATCCCTGAGCGGGCGCGTCGCGGTGGCGCGCACGCCGGCAGAGGTGAGGGAGGAAGGACTGGAAGGTGCAAGGTGCTAGTCAGCAGCAGTGACCCCATAGAAACGCGATTCACCTTGGCTGTGTCTACACTGGCATGAATTTCCGGAAATGCTTAACACGGAAGACTATTCCGTTTTCAGTTTTTCCAGAAAAGGAGCATCTACATTGGCAGGCTGCTTTTCCGGAAAAGCGTCTGTGGCCAATGTAGACGCGCTTTTCCGGAAAAGAGCCATTTTCGCGATCGGGGCTTTTTTCCGGAAAAGACTACTGGGCTGTCTACACTGGCCCTTTTCCAGAACAGTGTTCCGGAATAAGGACTTATGCCCGAGCGAGAGCAGAATAGTTTTTCTGGAATAGCGGCTGATTTTGTACAGTAGAGCATCGTTGCTTTTCTGGAAATTCAAGGGCCAGTGTAGACAGCTCACAGCTTATTCCGGAAAAGCGGCTGATTTTCCAGAATAAATGGCCCAGTGTAGACACAGCCCTTGTGTATGGTAAAGAGACGCTTTCAAAGCCGTAGTTTACAATGTGTCTCCATTGCCTCCCTGGCACGGCTACTCGAATCAGAAAACCAAAAATGTGGCTTTTGTAAAAATCTGATTGTTTCAATTTTTGTTAGTTTAAAAACATGCATCAGCTCTGAGCCAACTGAAGCCCAACCCTCCAAATACTTACTTATCTCTTTAATAGTGATCAAAATTTAGCCATGTTAGTCTGGTGTAGCTGAAACAAAAAACAGGACTATGTAGCACTTTAAAGACTAACAAGATGGTTTATTAGGTGATAAGAAATATAATTTATGCTATCATGTGCCAAAAGTGTCCATCTGTTATGTACATTGGACAAACGTCTCAGACACTTCGCCAAAGAATCAATGCCCACAAAACAGATATTAGAAAGAATCACAAAGAAAAAACAGTTTCTTGCCATTTCAACCAGAAAGGACATTGTCTCAACAACTTGATTACCTGCATCCTGCTTCAAAGACCTTTTAAGACTACACTTGAAAGAGAATCCTCTGAACTGTCATTTATGCTTAAATTTGACACTTTACACCTAAGCTTAAATAAAGACATCAATTATCTTACCCATTACAAAGATAGCTTCCCCAATTATCACCTCTAATATCATTAGCTCACAGACATTTACTTCCCCCTTCTCCCCCTTCTGTTCTGAAATTTGATTTGTCTTTTTCATATGTGTTCATTTTTTTAACTGTATCCTTTGGTATATATGGTTGTGACAATTTTCTTCCACTATTTGATCTGAGGAAGTGGGTCTGGCCCACGAAAGCTCATCACCTAATAAACCATCTTGGTAGTCTTTAAAGTGCTACATAGTCCTGTTTTTTGTTACCTCTTGAAGGCCGCCTGTGTATGAGCCAGGCTTAACTTTACTCCTGAGAGTAATCTCATTAATTTCCCTCTGTATAAACATTTGGGTTTTTTTGTGTGGGTCTTTCATAGGGTGACAGGATAAAATATTAGTTTCAATATGGAAAGGTCATCATAAAACCACAGAAAACATCATCAGGCAGCTTCAGGAGCAGATTTAATACTCAAAACTATTTTGAACTCTTCTTTTTAAATTAACTGTATTTTCAGTTCATGGTGTCCTTAAATTTTACGGTACTGATATCATCGGGGTGTATAATATAATTGAGCACCTTACTAGTGTATGTAATCATGTGTCTATCACTTGTCTTCCATTCTCTATTCCCTTGGGGCATGTCTACCCTTGCCATTTAAAGCAAGAAAAAGTCCCTTTTTTGCACAAAAAACATGGGAACATCTACACTTTCCAATAACATTTTGCGGTGAAACTCAGAAGCAGAGTTGTTGACTCGAGTCCCACAACTTGAACTCTAGTCCGACTTAAGTCACCTAGGTGACTCGACTTGAGACTAGACTCGGGTTCATTGTTTGTGACTTGAGACTTGCTAATTTTGTTAAATCGACTTGGTGAAAAAATTGTCCGAAAATGCTGATATTGATGGCTTGTACAAAAGTGACTTGACATTTTTTAAATTAAGACTTGATACTTGACTTGGGACTTGACTCAAAAGTGACTTTAGGGACTTGAGACTTGAACTGTAGTGACTTGAGACGACTTGGACTTGACAATGACGACTTGAAGACAACACTGCTCAGAAGTTTCTCTGCAAAAAGAAAGCCACCTCCATGAGAGGCATATAGCTCTTACAGGTGATGCACAACTGAAGTATACAGAGCTTTTAGCCTCCACAGGATATGGCAGGATGCCTAGGTGACCACTCTATTCAGTAGTTCTCCATCCAAAAAAAATAGGTGTCCGCCTCCTCCCTGTAAAGTCCTGGGGACTTTGTAACTCTCCTCCCTGTTTTCTTGGCACGCGCTCAGTTATCATCTGGCCAGGTGACAATTGCTACTACATACAGCAAATTGATCATTTGATCCCCTGGTTGGAGCAATGCTGAACTCCTGGAGCTCATCAATGTTTGGGGAAAAGGGGCTCTGCAGGGACCCAGAATGCCCTGTGATGGACCTCCCATCTATTCCCCACTTCTCACAAGAGCTGCACAGTGGGATGGCTGCCCTCGGCACTGTTCTCATCAGTGATGGAAGTGCTGCAAATGTAAACATGTCTGAGACTTGTGATCCTAAGTGAGTACAGAGACTAGCACTTTTCTATTACCAATTCCCTATCACTGATTAAACTGCAAAAACTCTGCAAGTGTAGACATAGTCCTGGTTCATGGGCAGTGGGTGAAGATAAGGCTAGGGGAGGCAAGCCCCCAGCCTCACCCCTTCTGCCCAGGCCCTGCCCGCCATGGGAGCCAAGACCTTCTCCCCACCTGGAGCACCATAGAGAGGGTGGCTGCCCCGACTTTCTCAGTCCTGGAGCATGGGGAGGGCAGGCACTCAGGGGCAGTAACACTAGAGTAGGTATTCTGGGTGTGGAGTCTGGGTGGGGCCAGACTGGCTGTTTGTGAAGGCAGTGCCTTTCCTTGCCTATTCTACTAGCTGCCCCTGTCTTGCCTGGTTTATTTCCCTGGCTTTGAATTAAGCCATATTGTTCAATGAGCTCCACCTGCAGGAACCTAGAGCCTGCACTGAACAAATTGCAGGATTGGAATTTTAGATAAGAAGTTCTGCAGGACAGGAACTTTCTCTAGTGTGCAGCACTTATGCAAAGGGTACTCACCTGCACATCTACTGTGATATACGTCATGTGCCAGCAATGCTCCTCTGCCATGTACATTGGACAAACCAGACTGTGTCTATGCAACAGAATAAATGGACACAAATCAGAAATCAAGAATGGTAACATACAGAAACCAGTCAGAGAGGACTTTAACCAGTCACAGACTTGAAAGTTACCAGACTTGATCAAAAACACTTAAAGAACAAACTGCAGTATTGAACCTGCTGAGGTGGAATTCATAGGCAAACACTGTAAAGAACTTTAAAATAATCATTCGGGCTGTCGAGCGATTAAAAATAAACAATAATAAAATACCATATTTAAATATTTGTGGGTGGTTTTGATGTTTTTGAATATATTGGTGTAAATTACAAGACAGAATACAAATTGAATAGTATATAACCCTTTATATAAGTACTTTATACAAATATTGTAGTGCAATCGTGAACTTACAAATGTACATACAAATACCTGCATTCAAAAATAAAACAATATAAAACTTTAGAACCTTCAAGTCCACTCATTCCTATTTCTTGTACAGTTAATCACTCAGACAAACAAGTCTGCTTACATTTGCAGAGATAATGCTGTCTGCTTCTCATTTACAGTGTCACCTGTAAGTGAGTACAGGCAGTCCCCGGGTTACATGGATCCCATCACCTGTAAGTGAGTACAGGCATTTAAATAGCACTGTTGTTGCAAGATATTTATGTACCAGATGTGCTAAGGATTCACGTGCCACTTCATGCTTCAACCACCATTCCAGAGGGCATACATCCATGCTGATAAAGGGTTCTGCTCAATAATGGTCAAAGGCAGTACAGACCAATTTATGTTTATTTCCATCATCTGTCAGATGCCACCAGCAGAAATTTGACTTTCTTTTCTGGTGGTTTGAGTTCTGTAGTTTCTGTATTGGAGTGTTGCCTTTTTAAGACTTCTGAAAGCATGCTTCATGCCTTGTCCTTCTCAGAT